CCAACATATTTATTTAAGCCTATAAGTATATTAGAAAATATAAGCTAAAGTGTAATTTATTAGTGTTTATTATGTTGAATGTGAGTCTTTAAGCTTTCATGGATAATAGCGATTCTTTATGCAGTAAAATAAATGGTAATGGTGATATTTTTACTAAATTTTATGAGTTAGAGACCCCCCCAACGTGCGTTCACCTTGTCGTGGTGGGGGGGCTCAGTAGTGCCCGGCAATCCAACCGGGCGCGAAGCTAAGAAACGCACAGGGAGGTTGCCCACTTCGGGGAGCGGTGGAAGTTCAATTTGTTGCTCCTTTGTTGCCCTCTTTGGAGGGCGGTGTACCATGGCGGTTGCTCCTGGTACTTCTCTGATAGCAGAGTGGACTTTGGAGCAACCCCATGGTCGTTGTGGTCTGCCTCGGCAGACCTGCCGTCGGGGCGTCGTAGTTGAATGCGTAAGCGATCCTGCGACGCCCCATTAAGACGGGGGAAGGCTTTGTTGGGTTTTAGTGGGTAGTACTGGCTGTATTACGCCGGTGAGTCCCACACGTCGTGCGTAAATGCATTTCCCAACGTTAAATAAAAAAAAAAAAAAAATTAAGGAGAGACAATGCTTAAAATAAGCTTCATTCATTAAATAATGCTAATAACTCAGACCAATAAAACGTTTTTATTGGTCTGAGGCTAATAACAAAAAAAATTACACACCGAAAGATTTCATTCTGCCAATTGGGGTAAAACTAATCAAGATTTATGAATGTATTGGCGTTGGATGAATTAGGTCTTTTCCACAATAGCATGCTGTTGCGCGCTCAGCACGAACTCTTGCGCAAGTGCTGCGCAGGCGCAAGGTTTGACGCAGACAGCGATGGATGGCGCTGGTTCAATTTATGGTTAGGTCAGATGAAATCACGAGTTTCGGTGAAAAATGATCCTAAACTGTTGAATTATTTGATGTGGGCGCCATAATTTTCGGAAATAGGATACTAGGTCGAGTTGCACAACCAAGCAGCAACAGGCAATATTGCTTAGATTAGCTTACGTTTACTTCCACTAAAATGTATGTATATAATAAAATAATATTGTTTTCTATTAATTTGGAAAATTCTCTTCAAGATGTACTTTAAAGTATGATTTGAATTTATTTTTACTTATAAGACTTATGCATTTGATATTGTTACAAGAACAGGATTGTTGATTTAACATATTTATTACAAAGAACTTTTAACTTTAAATTGTGTGCGTAGATAAAACTATAGTGGCTTGGATGTTATTTAAAACCACACTGTTGTACAGATGTTAATGAACATTACAGTAGATGTAAATATTTAATTTAAATATTTTTTTATAAAAACTTCAGAAAGAGCCTAGAGCTCAACGTATCGGTTATTATAATATTTTTACGCTTTCAAACTAAGCTCACCTCGACCGATACAAACTTCCTTGGCAATTAATTATTATTAATTGTGAGTAACCGACGTTTACGGTAATCTAATTTAGTAGAGGAGTATCGGTACATTAATCACCTTTATTAAGTGAAATTATTAATTATTAGCGGGACTATTAATTACCCGTTGCAATCCGCCATGACACCATCACCATAGCTAGCATGTACCTCGGCTACTGTACGCTTAAAACACACTGTTAGATGGAAAGGGATCTTTACTATGAAATGTTTACTATGAATATTCGATGCTATCATGTCTGTCTGCTCATATATAATATATTTCCTTTTTTTAACCTTTTTTTTCCATTTATTTATAACAAGTGATACACCCTCATTTTAAGTGAATAATATTTAACTTAGGTTAAATTATTTTAAGTTAAAATAGGTTATAATGTATCTCATAGGAACAATATTGCTTATATCTCAATGATATAAATGTAAGAAATACTATAATAGGTCACCATAGCAATATCGAAAGTGTAATACAGTAACTAGATGTGTCAACGTTTTAATATATTCATAGCGTTCCTCGCTACATTTCCTTGCAGTGTATATCGCGACACCTGAGCTCCTGTTGTTGCGAGATCCACTCTCCTTTCATTTTGCAATTTTGATATACAAATATTATGGAAATTTTAAATCCTCGTCCGTTTCCCACGTCAGTTGGCACAGATTATATACGTCGTAGTATTGTGTAAGGGCTATTATGGCGGTTCGCATCACGGCGCTCTTTGTTGTGCCAAAAGCGTTTCATTGCCTAATGCCTATGGATAAAGGCCTATGCTTAACTATTTATGAGACGAACTTAGACGTTGGATGAAGAATATATCACTTTAAAATATGAATGATCAAAATATTGCGGCGCAAGGCATAAGAACCTATGTTCATAACTTATCATTATTATAGTTTTAGAGTATTTTTTACAGTATTTTAATATGTTAAATTTCTATATGGAACCTATGTAGTTAGCACTTTTTAACGTCCCAATGTTGGGCACGGGCCTCCTTCGAATACCAGAGGGATCAGACTATAGTCCACCACGCTGGCCAAGTGTGTGTTGGCGGACTGCACATGACTTTCGACAACTTGCGAGAACATCTCTCAGACATGCAGATTTCCTCACGATGTTTACCTTCAGCGTAAGCGTAATCATGTTGAAAATGATTCCCACATGTAAATATCAGAGTTGTGCGACCCGGGATTTGAATCCGCTTCACTCGGTTTCACATTGCCATAAGAAAACTATGGTCATTCATAAATTATTAATTTTATTGATTCTAATACATAATTATACTCCAATTATACGATCCACTCTAACAAGATGCAGTCGCCTGGTTGTCTCGCTTCGATAGAGTTTTGCATAAATATATCTTAGTAACTATTTACTGTGACCACGGTAATATTCGTGACTCTGCGTCGCTTTTTTGTCAAATTATTACGAGATGACCTTGTTTTCATTGAATGGTAGTATCAGATACACTGATATATTTAGGACCTTAACATTTGAATTGCCAGTATACAAGTCTATGGCGCAGCCTGTTAATATTCAATACGTTAGTCATTTTACTACCGGTATCGGTTTAACAAATATGACATCCACCTAATAGAACGAGGCCAGACGAATAAAATAGTTTGAAGGCACTGTCGAAGGCTTAGTGCCTTCGTACATAACGTTATTACACTACTTCTCACGTTTCCTTTATAGCCGATGGGAGCATATTGCCTTATATATATACTACCTATCTATATAATACATATATTCTTCGTATTTTGTTTCATAAGTACATTGTGCATACCTAGATATTTATGTAAAGGTTATTGTGACATGAAGAATATACAAGTAAAACTTAAAAATATTGTTTTTCTTTATGTTGTACGATTTAAGATTCCTGTATATAGGAGCAATATTTAAAAATTGTGGACTAAATTACATTTACACTTTGCTGAAATGCTGTTCGTTGGTAAGTGCATAACTTAAGAATGGCTGGACCGATTTGTTTTTTATTCTTTTAAATTTTCGTAATAGTCTGAGAAAGATTTTTAAAGGAAAAAAATTAAAATTTTCCAGGAAATACTTGTTAAATTCGGATAAACTGAAAATGCTTTTTAAACATCACAATATCGAACTTTGGATCGGTAAGCTAGTTTTGAAATTGATTAGAACAAGAACGTAGAAAATTTTGCAATCTAGTAAATAATTGCTGATGTAACACAAACATAGAACTTGGGTTAATTAATTTAATGAATACAACAAATGTTTGTTACGCATCTTGCTACCTTTCACTCAAAATCGAATTAAAGCCCAGTATGTAAACAATTATGGCGGTAGTGTAATTGGCATATCTAATAAATCTTACGCGTGCCTTTCTTTAATTAAAAGTTTTTAGAGTTAATTATTCTATCAGTTACGTCATATTGTGAATATATCAATTATTAATTAATTGATATACACTAATGGTATCTACCGAGCTATAGTTCATCTATATTAACAATATCGATAGTCAATCGATACGTGTATATAAAAAAATCTACATCCAATATTACGTAATATTTTAATTATGGTTTAGAGTAACAATATTATTGTAGAGAATATTTATAAAATTCCTATGTAATAATACAGTTTAATTTTATTTTTTTAATTCGAAATCGTATATGAACATACAAATGTATCTTAAGCTTGACATAGCTTAGAGGTATTTTTGCGATTAAAGCCGCGATGATACGTTCAAAGTCTGCTATGATCAAAGTTTACTTGGATACCTGTTGACACGCTCAATGTCTGATTTGACAAAAAGCGTTGATAAAAATCTTTGAAACGAAGTTCACTTTAAGAAACACAGCTCCAACTCCACTTCGATTGAACGACGACGTCAAAGTGCGCTTTGATTGCTCGTTTACACGATCAAAGTAGTTATCAAAAGTACTTGTCAAAGCAGCCTTTGGGAAATTAGAATACGGTCCAAGTCCGCTTTGATTCACGACCACATCAAAGTGCGGTTTGATTGCTCGTTCACATGATCAAAGTTGCGTCAAAGTAGTCATGCAAAACTATTTTGTCGAAGTAGACTTTGATCGTGTCAACGCGGCTTTATAGAACTCAAAGTGCGTAATTTTAATCGGTATCGCCATATCGAGCAATTAATTTTATATAATTACCGTTTACAGGTGCGCGCTTATTTAACGATGTACCGACTGTTAATATCGTATTATAATCCAGTTGAAAGTATTAATGGCGACCACACTCCAGTATGACAATTTGATTTAATTGAATAATATAAATTGTTCATTTTATGGTAGAAATTAAAGAAAAAATCGTTAAGCCAAAGAAATATTATATTAATATAAATAAAACTTATTAAAAATATTTTGTGTCGACTTTACAATTTGAAACTAGTGACCCACTTTTGTTTTACTCAGGCTACGGTTGTCATGAACCTAAATTGTATAGTACTAATAGGTACCTGCTCTGGATTACTTAAATCTAAACCAACACCACAGAACCAATAAAAATCATCTAAATGTACATATTATTTTACATTAGTTAGGTAAGATACTTACCGACGCATATTCAGCGCAGATGTCGATGGTACAGACAAATTCACACACATCGTCTACAGTCATCGCGGAGAGTCTCGCACGAGCTTCTGAACACAAGCAATCGCGACTCTCACTCCGGTCTGGCGATAAAAGTAAATTATTAGCTTAAGAATAAGATCTGTCTATCTTCAGATCTGTCTATCTATGTAGGTACTAAATTTTATCAAAAACCGTCCAGCAGTTCTACTGTAAAAGAGTAACAAACATACACACACACACACATACAACAAACATTCGATGTTTATAATACTTATCTTTTTATGAAAAAATAGGGGCTAACTCTCGCTTCGCTGGGGTTCGTCTCTAGGTACGTTTTATATAGATATAAATAGTTACTATCCAGCGTTAGTTAGCCATTTAAATTTTAACATTTTTTATTGAATTTTTCCGATATTTTAATAGTTATTCTACTATTGGGGGGGGAAGACAAATCCAACAAAACAAAGATCATAGAAATCGGTCCAGCCGTTCTCGAGTTATAAGTGTTGTAACAAACCCAACTTTGTTTTATATACATATATTATAGATACAATCAAAACTGATAGTTTCATATAACTCCAAACACGTAAATTTTCCTGTATTTATCGAATAATTAGTTTTTGAACCTCGAAAAAACGAAGTCGTAACGCTCAGTAGAATAGTAAAATTCAATGTCGGTACTTTTATCGTATTATTATTATTATTACAATATCTTTTAAAATAAGCAAGATTTCTATTTTCTTGATTTAAATTTGATATTGTTATTTAATGTTTTCAGCTACCTATTTTATGCAGCACAACCGAGTATTTAACTGATAATTAAGTGCATATATCTCGACTGATGAATTAACTGTTCTCTGTAATCTCGCTTCAGTTATGATACGATAATTAATTTTTATTAACTAATATTTTCTTAACTAGCTTATATTACCACAGCTGCTGATTTTACCGCTCGAAAATTATACGTTAGCTTTTTATATTTTTAACATCACATATTTAATTTGCAAATAATTTATTATTATATTCATTTGGAATGTTGGACGAACATCGATATTTTACAATTGTAATAATTTCCATTTAAAAGTGAATCTGAATTGTATTTCATTTATGATAATTGTCGTATGAGAACCACGTTAAAGGACTCTTTTCTCTACATTATAGAATAAGTATGAAGAGAGAAAAATATAAATATTAGGCGAAAATAAAAAAATAATAATCATATTATAATCTTTTTATATGGCTCTGTTTGTAATTATATCAAAATAGCGATTTACTCTCTAGATGCCAAACAGTAGCCTATGTCTAACTCCAGGTCGAAGTCTATTTTTGTAATGAATTTCATTCAAATCTATCCAGTCGTTTCAATATCAACGTGTAACAAACATAACACATATAAGCTTTCGCAGTTTCGCATAATTGTAGTCCGTTATATTACTTTGGTTACCTTCATTTGATACTCTGTCCCTCTCATCTCCGTCGCTCCGCGTGCTAGGGCTGGCGGAGAGTCGGGCGCGTTTCGCCGCACTCTCCCCCGCCGCGGAGAGATCAAGCGGAGAGTGTTCCGTTGTGACTCCCGCGCCGACGCGCTTGCGCCGCGATCTACCTCCGCGACCCACTCGCGATATTGCTAATAGAGTCTGGTGACAATATTATGATTGTTATTGTATCTATCTATATATGTACATATAAGCATCATTTATTGTACGATAGTAATTTTTACACCGCCATGAGATTTTTTAGCAAACTTGACTGTGTAGTAAATTTGCACATTAATTACTTTAAAAAAACTTTACAATGCCTATATTTGAGAATAATATTTTAATAAGTATAATAAATAAGCTGTTGCTCGTTTAAATAAATTAAAATATTACTAAAAACATTTCGAATGTCTACAGAGATCACGCAAGTTGTGACTTACGCGGACAGGGTCAATTACTCGGTAGCACGTCGAATGGCAGCGTTAAGCAAACACGGAGAGCCTATTATCTGATCGAGACCGTAAGTGGCGGGCATTCATCATAATAACATTCTGAGCCGTCACGCTTGCTGCTCGCGGGTCAAACTGCAATCTATCTTTTTTAATTGCCATTTGCAATAAAATGAGGTGTACGGGGACTTATTTAGAATTAAATTCAAAATGAGACGCGCGTGAAGTGAACGGGTACATGCGTGCGCGCCGGCAGACGCCGAGACCATTAATCTCACGATTTATTTCCGAGCGCGCTCCCGTTTCTCTTCACAGGTGAAAATAAATTAAACTGGACTATTTATAGTGTAAAGGTACAAAGAGAAATGTAACAAATCATGTTAATATCGCGAGCAAGTGTCAGATGCTGTTGTAGCGATACTGATTTTAGAAAGCAAACACCATTGTAGTACATTGATAGATCACGTTCTAAATTACTATTAGTATTGTTGAACTACGTTTCAACTTTATCCCGGCTGCGATACAAAAAATCGTATCAATCAATGCGATAATTTACTGTTATTTAGCGTAAAAAATATCATAATTTACTGGAAGGTTACATTTAGATGTATATAGCGTGAAAAACTGCTACAGACATCGCGTGCATTGTTCTGTATTAAAACCATTAGATGAAAAAGTTGAGAACAGTTCGATTTCACATCCCATCACTAGCGTGTCACGGGGCGCGCATGCGCGGCGCGTGCCTCTGCCAATTAGTGCAGCTCCAGTTCGCTTTACAGTGGAGAGCCGAGACGGTTCGCTGGCAGCGGCTGGGGGCGGAGACCACTAGTACCATGCGATTTTGCGCGCGCGCAGACGGTAACAACCGCCTCGCAATTAACACTCTCTCCGTCTTATCTATACGGTATAGACCGGGGGAAGTGTAAAGGTTACGTGCCATATCAGATTTAATTGCCATTATTACTGGAAAGGAAGCGAGTGCTCATCGCGCGTTATGATTTAAAGAGGCACGAATTAACATCAGCCGGCGCGAAGATCCTAAAATAAGATAGCACCGAATGAATTTTACGATGCCCGAAACATTTTAATCACAGCCGTGAACTATGAATCGGGGTACAGATGTGTAATTACAGCGGGAAGGTCAGTGAGCACAGAATAAATAATTACTAATGAATTTTAAAGAGTTACTTATGAAATGAGCAGTCAGCTGAGCGTAAATTATTTCATAGGGGCAGTGGCATTGCTCCAAGTGATGACCATTACGTCGTAATGAACGGATATTGTAAAACAATGTTTTAATATTTTCTTAACGCGGTTAAAAAGCTTTGCGAAAACGATGGTTTCGTAATCAGATTTCGTTATTTAAGTTACACGTGTCATATAACTATTAATTTTTTATTACACGCATCCTTCCAGATATACGCAATTTCAATTATATGATAAGCGAAATGAAAAATGTAAGAAATATTTTGTTTTGAAATATGTTTACCTACTCTTAAATAAAATATGTTAAGAATATCTTAAAATCAAAATGTTTTTGTTAGTTAATTACAAGAACTTATTAAATTATTTCGCCATGTTCTTTCTTACAGTGTATACTGTGGAAGTCATAAGGCACTACAGAAAAAACTTCTTACATTTAAGCTGGCGTAATTTATCTGTTTGTGTTTGGTAGTAGTATAACATCATTTGATAGCTCTTATTGACTTTATAATATAATAAAGGTCAGCTATGATACTGTTTAGGATTCAAAGTAACACTGGGCGTTATAAGGAAGAACTCGTTTAAATATGGCTTGGAATATATATGAACAATTATTATAATTATTCTTCCTCTTCCTCAAGACCAATAAATTACGTTTTTTATATTTTAGCTTTAATTATCGTTTTATGAAATAATTCAAATAAATTACTTTTATAACTTATCCATGCATAAATATGTATGTATAGTATGTAGATTATAAGAGTCCGATGAAAATTGTATGGAACAACACAGGCTTATAATTCACTAGCGACTCATCCGCGCTTCCCTCGGGTTCGTCCTTAGGTACGTTTTTACGTTTAGTATGGAATAGATAGATTATATATCTACATAGGTATGATGATGACTTTTATATCCCTTACTTGAGAAATGATTGATTCCCTATACAAGTTTCCAGCATATTAGTATGGATATTAGTATGGATATATTAATATGGATTATTTTTCTTACCTTTGTAGAACTCATGTCTAGCATAACAGGGAAAGCGGGAAGCCGAGGTGGGCCTCCCTGTTGCTTCGCTAACTTTGCAAATAAACCGCCAACGACCACATCATTACCATCGGCCTGTGTGGGCGCTGGAGTTCTTTCCATACCGTACCCATTTATTCGGTGGAAATAGCTGAAACAAAATAATATTTAGGAAAACAAAATCAAAATTTTCGCTTAAAGATATTCTTTATAAAAGTTATCAAACAAAATAGTACATAACTAACGCTACAGGTATTCACAAAAGATCTTGTTTGTAGCTGATCATCGCCTATTATAATTTTGTAATTGTTAATAAATCAAGGGTTGCCTAAAATGGGCAATCTATCAAAGAACCAATTTAAATTTGATTCATGTACAAAAGGAGAGCAGGTTGCTAATCTTTTTGAAATTTATCGAACTTTTACATATATAACACATTATATATTACTATAACATGGCGGAATATTAAGATACTATCATTGTCCTTTTCGATAATGGTACTATTGTTGAACGTGTGAAATGCATGCACTAGGCAGTTCCCCAATAACTGCTGGGGCGCAATTCAATTGTTCAGAGTGCGGATGAAGAGTACGCGTAAAGCTCCTTTATTGAACTTTAGTTAGGAATTAAAGTGACTTGATGATCAACTATCCTAATAAAGCTACTAATAACATGTTTACATGTTCTCTTTAATGATATTGTATGACAATACAGTTAGTGTCTTCAGTTTTTAGAGTTCCTTTATAGTTTTTTAACCGATATGTACTTCTAAATATGCATTGGTATATAGTTTATAGCTGTTGACGCAAAACAAGAGTGCGTGACATCATCAAAATATTGAACATGTAATTCGTAAATACTTTGGAATCGTTAACCTATTGATTTGCAATAACATTAATGGACCAGTCGAGTTCTTTGCAACAAATCGGCGTTTGCGCAACAACGACTAATATAATTACACCGTAGATAATGGGCTTGATTAGTGCTTTAGGCTAGTAGTAATTTTTTCAAATGTCAAGAGGTTAGGAATCAATTTGAAGTGGATCTCATTGAAATATTGATTAATTCAGTTCATACCGAGCCATTGCATAAAGCTTATTATAATTATAATACTACATATATTATAATTATAATAACAAAAACACGTTTGCTGTGTTGTTTTGTGACGTCAAAGCTCCAGTGTGTCTACTTTATCATCAGTATAGGAATTAGTAATTGGTATTGACAGAGGTCACCGACCGCGCCCCGTGAGATGAGCAATTCATTAATATAACATAAGTTCACGCGGACAACTTCGGTTCTCACGAATCATGTAAATTTGTCGACTTAACGTAAGTTATCGAATCGATTAATATGCAAATCGATTTAGGCATCACTAGGCGGTCGCTGAACCGCGAGTCGCATGATATTGTGAATGCATTGACACCGGTGGTGTGAAAAACGGGTGTTGTGATTTTAAATTTTAATATCGATTATTAAATTGTCAATCATTATAATGTATCATCGCCTGAAATTATAATGTAGTGGTGACAGCTGAAACGGTGCGAATAATGTGAGCCTTACGAAGCAAATATATAAATTTCAAATGACCCGGTTGTCGCAAATAAAAATAAATGTATTTGAAAATGGAGTTTACGATCGTGGGGCATTTAATTCCTAGATAGGTTGTCAGGTGTAGTGCTAATAGCAGCGTACATAATGCCTGCCCGCGGTGTCGACTTAATGCGGATCTTTAAGGAAATGCTCTGTATATATTATTCCGTTTACGTCTTTAACGCACATACTTTGTTCTTTACTGTGTAAATCCATATATAATATAAGGATTTCAGCGAAGTAATTATATAGTGAGCTGTGAGGCTTATTTAAAATAATATCCAATATATATATAGCCAGTTGACTTTTCAATTTTTCAAGGGTTCTCTATAATGTAAGTACTCGCTATGATATTGTCGATAATAAATATAGTATTCATAAAATATGCCTGAGATGATAAATAATTATTTGGGGAATTTTGTAGACATAATTAAGATAAAATGACAATATAGTTGATAAACTAAATTTGATTTTATCACTTACTCATTAGAGGGGTGTGTGTTGTATCGGGCGGCAAGCGAACGCATGATGTCCGAGTAATTCCGGGGTGGGTGAGCAGGTGCAGGTGGCGCGTGCGGGCTGCCGCGCTCTGGCGGTGTGCCCGGGTAGGATGACGTCGACGGCGTCACGCTACGTGATCTACGTGCAAAAAGATATACATTGTTTTGTAATTATATGTTTATTGTCTGATTCCATTCCGATTGAATTAATGTGAAGGCTATGAAGCCTAATTTTTTAGATCAACGTTTTATATTTGACAAGTCCTATATTTTATCTATGTTCCACAGTAGCGCTAAAGTAGCGCTTATCCAATTATGATGAGATGTCAATCGATTCCTTATTGTCTAGGTGATATAAGCTATTTTATTTGCTATCGTATTTTTTAAACTATCTTGCTGACAAAGGTCAAATAGTATACCTGGAAGCAGTAGAGTCGTGCGGACTGAGGCGCTCGTTCTTGACGGCGTGCGCGGGGGGCGCGGGAGGCGCGGGCGCCGGCGCGTGCGCGTGCGCGGGCGACGCCGCATCGCGCGCGCACCGCCGCGCCGCACCCCCGCCGCCTTCACCTGTAACAAGCGAGGGGAAACATGTTATTATGTTATTTATATACAACTATCAGTCGGAGTAACGCGCTTTGGAAACTGAGTGTAGCAGGTTCAACCGGGTCTCGAACCTCTGATATTTTCATGAGCGAATAATTTTCAAAATGATTACCCCTTGTCTTACGGTGGGTACTTAAGGAAAAACATTATGAGGAAACCTGCATGTCAGAGAGAACCTAACAAGTTTTCGAAAGATATGTGAAATCCGCCAACCCGCATTTAGTCAGCCTGAACACCTACCCGTATTTAAGGTAAACCCTTGCCCAGCAGTAGAACGTTAAAAAAGATCTGAATATGAATATAAATGTATATAATACTATCTATGTGTCTAACAGTACCCAGCCTATTTGTTAGTTAAGTTCACCAGTCTATACTAAATTTCATATGAATCCGTTCAGCTGTTTCGGCGCGAAGAAGTAATAAACACATACACGCATACCTTCACACAAAACATAATATACAAACTTTCGCAACTATTATAATAACCTGATAATAATATGTTCTACGCAATATATAATTGCGGTAATAACTTTAACTAGAAAATTACTTTTATATCTTGAAACCGAGGAAAGAAACGTACATTTAACGACAGTGGTTTAATAGTAAGAAATTATGGAAATAACAAGATTTAATTATACAACGTTTGTATTATGTATATAAAAGTGATATATTGTAAAATTTATAATATGTATCAGTAATGGAAAAGTGAATGACAAGTTCTTCACTTCAAAGAGGTTAGGACTCAACAGTATCTAGATTGTTTTATTATCTCGTAAAAACTAATAAAGTATCTACTATCTACCTATTTTATTATTATTGTATACTAGCATTGCCCGCGGCTCCGCCCGCGTTAAGGTGACTAAAAACCAAATTCTTAGGTTTTACATATTAATATAGTCTTACATTACAGTTTTTGTATTTTTTCTCAGAAATGGGACATTTTCCCGCAGTGAAAAGTATTCTATAGGTATGTTGACTCGGATAACCAGCTATCACCATACCAAATTTCGTCAAAATCCCTCTAGTGGTTTTTCTGTGATGCGGTAACAGACAGACCGACAGACAGACAAAAATTCTAAAAACTATAGATTCGGTTTCTGTATCCATAATAATGTCTATTTCAATAAGATTTTCCAAAAAATGTTTCATGTACAGATTCGGCTCAGTTAGAATTTTATTATATGTACCTATAGATATATAATATTCAAAGAATTAATTTGAAAAAGAAAAATAAATACTTAAGTCACATAAGAACAAGGTGACATAAGAAATGAAAATTTAAAAGCCCAAACACGACCTTAAACACTGATAGCTGTATTACCAAGAAGAATATCTGCAGATAAACTGTTGATGTTGTAAGCCGGTTGCCGCGTTACGCACATGACGGGATGAAAAAAAATGGCGGAGCACATTCCGTGACCCGGTCGGAATCTGCGTCCTGGAGATACGAATCGAGCGGCGCGTTTGAAGTTGCGTTACAGGTCGTATTGAAAGGCTGACCGACCACCGTTTATTTAACATTACGCTATGCAATCGAAATTGAGTGTGGAGCTATCATTTAAACTATATGTAATTATTAACTGAAGCGATATGTATTCGAGAAATGTTACTGTACATACCTCGCATAAACTATTGAGATATTTAATATTATATAATTTCCTAATTATTTTCAAGTCTAGACAGAATTTCAGTTAAAAGACCATTATAAATACGTATCAAATAAGTAAATTCACTTATTTATATTTTTTTTTATATATTAACGCAACCACCTACCTATTATAAAAATAATCAAGCTCCTTTAACTTAAGCTTTAACTCAAGTGGACCATTAACCTAAACTCAGCGATACACTTTCCACTAATCTCTACGTGCCATCTCTTGAAATTAATGAGCTTACGAGGTGTGAGTACAGATGTCAGAGAGAATGATAGCAACATCACAAGTGACCAGAATATTTCGGAGGGCATTCATATTCTTAACACTTTTTGCTTATGAAGAAGTATGTGAGATATCACAGTCATTACATCCGGAGCTTTATCATGAAACCGTTGAAATTTAAACGTTTTATTTTCACCACATTCAATTAAACGATATTTGAATATTTAATAATATACATACATAAGTGTAGAGGAGATAGGTAAAATTGAAATTTAATAATATTGCCGTAAAAATCCTATTACAATTAGGAATGTGTATTAAAGTTATTGTAATGTCTTTCACTTTTAAATATTATACAATTATTTGAACGTAAAAATTAAACTCAATAGTGCGTTAATTATTTCTTCGAAATACAATATTACATTTATTCTGTAGGTACATATAATAAAATTCTAACTGAGTCGAATCTGTACATTAAATATTTTTTGGAAAAGCTTATTGAAATAGTCATTATTATCGATACAAAAGTCGAATCTATAGTTTTTTAGCATTTTAGTCTGTCTGCCTGGGAACGATTCACGAGAAAACCACTTGACAGATTTTGCTGAAATTTGGTATGATGATAGCTGTTTATCCGGGTCAACATATAGGATACATTTTATTGCGGGAAATATCTCGTCTCTGAGAGAAATCTATACTAAACGTTAAAACGTAACTAGGGACGATCCCGAGCGGAGCGACGCGAGGGTGAGTCGCTAGTAGACTATAAATAGATACACATTAGACTATGTATATAAAAATAGACTATGTATATAAAAATGTTTAAAGTTTTTATAATTATGATTACATGATTAGAACATATAATCAACCTTTCCGGTTTAATTTATTATGAAGATCGTACTACAAACATACCAACATGTCAAAAATTTCTTCACTGGCCCTACTTAGTTGACTTTCATTTGCAATAAAACAGTTACACAAGTGTCGTTTTAGAGGCCGGTTCTCATATATATTATAAGATGAATTGTGGACCGCCGTCGCCTCTCGTCGCCCTAAGTGGAGCGATTAATCTCAGCCTTTAAAACTCTAATGACGCTATACGTTGCGAACATTAGCTACTTCATTAGGGAGCGAAACTTAATTACTTATAAGCAACATTTATATTAGAAACGGGAAAATAAAGTGTTCATATATAATAAAAATTGCATTAAGTCCATATTATTAATAAAATTAAGTGAAATATACATAAACAAAATCTAAACCATACTATAGCTAAAATATCAAAGGAATATATTAACTATAGCTAAAAGCTTTTTATAAACAAACACCCGCCCAACTGGAAACACTGCTCATATCATTTATTCGCCGGACGAGTCCATTTATTAATATTCCTATTCATATCGACCGATATGGCCCACAATGGGACCCACAGAGTGTACCATAATCTTGCAGGTTATGGGAAAATTATTTCAAATTGACGCGATCTATGGAGATCTTATGTATCTTATTACAATGGTAATGTCCGGAGTATATTGTCCTCATACTTCACGTTGGCGTTAAGACGAGTTTATCTTTTCTTCTACGAACATAATAACATCTATATTAGGTAATTGTAGCTTAAAGAACTGCGTAGATGTTAGAACATCGAGGACCACATATATCGAATTTTTCATGTTCAAACTCCTCCGCATATTTTTGACAGCCTATTATATCTGTACATTTGAAAAGATGTTTAGAGGCATTGGTGCAGTAAATAGTGCCTAAGTAGGGCGCTTATAAACATAAACAAAAATAAATCCAGTTGATCGTCTATTTATCATATAAACTAAAACAAAATTTCTTGGATTTTTTTATGTGCATTAAAAATGTAAGGTATAGACTTATTATATGTAGGAATAAAATAAACTTAATGCGAAAAAAGCCATGGGAAATGCTTAGTACTTAATCGCTGCAAATGACAAATAATATACGACTTACAAGCGTGTTAATATCTTCAATGTATACGATCAACCCGGGATTTCTACTATTGGATAACTTGGACTTCCTGCCAATACGTAGGCTATATTTATCTCACAGCGGGTTATATGAACGAAAATAATGTAGGCAAAGCCGCGGGTGGTCGCTAGTGTTTTACGAAATATGCAACAAATGTACTTATTCAATACATTTAATTTCATTAATGTGATTGTGATGAAACAAATAAGTTTTTTTAACGCAAGATGTATCTCAGTATCATAGTACCAAACGATACAATACGATAGATAATGCGCAAGTGGTATGGAATACTTGAAAATATGTTTTGTAATTATTGTACACAATTTTCGTGTATTTATGTACGTTTATATTATGTATACCTATCAATAGTGTAATGTGATAGTGTACTTACGGGTAGGTGGCGCTGTTTTCGAGACCCAGTTTTTTTTTTACTTCCGACCAAACTTCGCCTGTGGCAGGACAACGCCTACCTACCAGGTTTGCTAGTATAATACATATACATAAAAAACCAATATAAATGCGATACGAAACATAAAACATTTACAATTTCCCAACAGATAAAGGCTTAGTTTCCTCCGCGTTTCCTCTTAAACCTCTGTGAGAATTATGTACGGGAAGTGATCGACAAGTGTCATGACTTCTGAGCAGCTATGAGCGATGTCTTCCGGTGCCAAACCCGCCAGGTCACCTGTCGATTGGTATTATAATGAAGGAAATAGGCACCGTTATGTTGCAACGACAACACTTCGTTAATTCGACGCTAGGTCGAGCTAATGTATACAACAACAACGTAGTGGCTCATCTAGTTTTACTTGATTTTATCGTAAATTATACGTAGTGTGTAAATAAAAGAAGTGTTTCGTAATTGATACGTAACATGGACATTTATTGAGTTACATAAATATTGATTGATATTTTTCTTGAGGTTACTCTCCACACCTCCAGGTAAATTTCTAAGAAATTAATAAAAATTCTAAGAAATCTATTGTTAACTGACACCCCGGGGTGCCCGCGGTCGTGGAGGGATGTATCGACTTTGTTTTTCGGGAATAGGGTTTTTTTGGAATATTCTACTTTTAATATATATGGGTT